GCCTTTGTTTGCTCTTATTTTCAGAATGATTCCAATAGTTGTTGGGAAACCTTGTCCATAATTTCACTTTATAATGATCATTTCCCTGACACTTGGCTAACTTTTCCAAGTCCCCAGTTAAAATGGTAGTACTTTTACTACAGTACACACAGAAACCACTGACAGGGTTTTGAATGTTTTCCAAACACCTATGAAACAAGCAAAGACAGGGAAAGAGGACAAAACTTCCTGCATCTTCCTCCTCCCACAGACTGCAGCACCCTTTTCAACTTCTGCCCAGTTACGAAGCCACCATCCCCTCCTATTCTACTCTTGATTTCATATCCCTGCTTTCATTTTTGCCCCATTCCTATGCCACCCCCTTCCTTCTTTTCTGCAGCCTCCCTTTGCACCCATTTTCACCTTCTTGCTCCATCCCTTTTCCTTTGACACTTTTAGAAGACATCTGAAGGCAGCCCTGTATCAAGGTTTTTAATGCCTGATGTTTTTATTATGTGTTTAGATATGTTGTAAGCCACCCAGAGTGGCTGTGGAAACCCAGCCAGATGGGCGGGGTATAAATAATAAAATTATTATTATTATTCCTTCCTCCTCTTTCCTTTTCTCAACTTTCTTGTTGTATGCTGACCACCCCCATTTCCATGCCTTCTCCTCTCTCCTATTCTGCAGCTCCGTTTGCACACCCACCCTAGGATGATATATGGTACTGTCTTTCCAAGATGAATAGATTCTTATGAGCAAGCCTGTCAGTTTCTTTGTTCAGTTAGAGAAGGTTAAGTTCAGTTGATGGATGTTGTTCATGTATGGGTGTGTGCCTGTAATAAAATATATGTTCCAAACTACTGTGTTGAATCTGGAACTTCCTGTTGAAGACAACACACGGTGCTAGGAGTGAACTACATTGTGTGAAGGATCTCTGCAGTTGCTTTTAAACCACCACTTTCACCCTCTCAGCGTTCCTTCCTTCTTGTTTCCATACCACAGCCACAGCTGATGTGCAACCTGTCTTCTCTTTTACTCACCCCTGCATTGACTTTGTGCAAATCCAGGGCACTACAAATCCTCCACTGGGAGTTGTTGTTGTCATTTATTGAATTTACGTTGTTGTTACCCTAATCAAAACATGACACACAATTGGTTTTTCTGTAGAATTTTTCAGAGAAGCACTTCATCTAGCAATATGGGGATCCCACAGTGAAACTGGTGTAGAATCAAAATCTTCCCACTGTCACTATAGCAAAGCCTCTTTTGTTGTTGTTTAGTCGGGTCCAACTCTTCGTGACCTCATGGACCAGAGCATGCCAGGCACTCCTGTCTTCCACTGCTTCCCGCAGCTTGGTCAAACTCATGCTGGTAGCTTCGAGAACACTGTCCAACCATCTTGTCCTCTGTCGTCCCGTTCTCCTTGTGCCCTCAATCTTTCCCAACACCATGGTGTTTTCCAGGAAGTCTTCTCATGAGGTAGCCAAAGTATTGGGGCCTCAGCTTCAGGATCTGTCCTTCCAGTGAGCACTCAGGGCTGATTTCCTTAAGAATGGATAGGTCCACGGGACTGCAATTTATTGAATTTATATATCACCCTATATCCGGAGGTCTCAGGGCAGTTCACAGAAAGGAGTTGTGCTTATAACACATCTCACACACATCTCGGAGCAGATTTAAGGAGGGTATGGGGTGAGTGCTAAAAGGAGGAGTGTTGAGAAAGTTCCATTGTACAAGCATAAATCCTTGTATTGGCCAGATGGATTTCTTAGCACTATATTGGATACAAGTCCCAGCTTCTAATCCTGTTCTCTTGGCTGGTCACCCCACTAAAAACAGAGGACTCTGCCTTTTGCATATCCTCATTAAAAGCAGTCATGCATAAAAACATTTTTGGTGTCTGCCAAAGCTATAGCAATGGAGGTGGCTGGCTGGTTGTATCTCTCATGGTAGAGGTAAGGGTAATACAGAATTGTAGAGTCACCACAAGAAAATCTGGGTGTCAACCCCACAATTTTGGCCTGTGCACACTGGCTTTTACCTACACAGGCCCTATTCAGGTGGGTCGTCCCCATGTGGATAGTGGAAGTGTGCTGGATCTCTACATAGCATCAAAGGGGAAGGAGAGGAAGACAAGACCAAAAGTTCGCACAAAGCCAAGGTTCATGAAAACAAAATCCAAAATCAACAGTTCAGTAATACCTTTATTGGGACAAATGAAAGGCTACAAAAATGTGAAAGCTTTAAAGTTATCAGAACTCTTCATTGGGCAAGATATTGCACAAATAAAACCTGACATAGGAAGCTTTTAGTGCTAAGCAGCACATCGCTATCACCAGGTAGCCAGAATAAACTGAGAGACACTGAGGAGAAAGGTGACCCAGTGTGACTATGGGCAATGACTTGCATCAGGGAGGTTAACATAAATAATTGTGTTTTATTTCTTTTGTATAGGTAATAGCCAAAGACATCTCTTCAATATGAAGGAATAGCTAAAAGAACCCACCTTAATTGCTGCTGAATTGATTGCTGGCTGCTAGTTACTCCCTTCAAATTATGCACAATTACCAGTAGTTGACATGGTAAAGGTAAAGGTAAAGGTACCCCTGCCCGTACGGGCCAGCCTTGCCAGACTCTAGGGTTGTGCACTCATCTCACTCTATAGGCCAGGAGCCAGCGCTGTCCGCAGACACTTCCGGGTCATGTGGCCAGCGTGACAAGCTGCATCTGGCGAGCCAGCGCAGCACACGGAACGCCGTTTACCTTCCCGCTGGTTGACATGGTAGGGAGATGAAAAAAACAGTTTCATGGCCTGTCAGAATTAATGAGGAGAGCTAGGAGTTTCAAGGTCCCATGGAGGATATTTTAATGTTTTGCTAGTGTGTGCCAAAATACGAAAGGCCAGCCCAGATCATACATAAGATAAAGGGAAATTAAATATGAATACTAATATCCACAAGAAAGTACAGTATATTTCTCTCAATCATACACAACAGATCACCTTGTTTGGCAAAGATGAAGGATATGACTCTTACGATACTAAACAAATATTTCTAACATATAATGGATCTGCAGTACTGGTAAAATCTGTTTTCATATTTCTGAATCCTAGCTCTCTATCTTGTTGAAGAAGAAAATAACAAAATGAGTGGTTATTTGAAGAGGGGGGAAATAGTGGTGTGAAATCGTCACATTAAACTTCACACATACCTGAGTTAGAAGGTAAGATGGAAACACACAAATACAGTGGTACCTCGGGTTACATACGCTTCAGGTTACAGACCCAGAAACAGTGCTTCAGGTTAAGAACTTTGCTTCAGGATGAGAACAGAAATCATGCTCTGGCGGTGTGGCGGCAGCAGGAGGCCCCATTAGCTAAAGTGGTGCTTCAGGTTAAGAACAGTTTCAGGTTAAGTACAGACCTCCGAAATGAATTAAGTACTTAACCCGAGGTACCACTGTATAGAAAATGTACTGGGTGAAGAATTCAGCATATTGAGAAACTGGGGGGGATGGGGACAACTTCCAAGTCTTATGTGAAGATGTGAATTTGGGCTAGGGGAGAGGAGGTCAGGCTGTATGATGCCTGAGTCCCTTTTAATTCCTGGGGTCCTAGATTCAGCAAAGGTTAAAATCTAATGGCGGATTCAATTGTCGAAGCAGCCAGACCTGCTTCTTGGTGGGCCTAAGCATGGTTGTAAGTATAACAGAAGGAAGTGGCTTTGTGCCAGAGGGCAAATGGGTGGGTCCCCTCTCCCTCATCTGGCTGGAAGTGGGAAAGACAAAAGTGTGTGTGTCTGTGAGAGATCGAGAAAGAGATAGGAGAGTGCACTGGGCTAGAAGCAGGTAGAAGAAAGAGAACGAGAGTCATGCTTGATCTTTGCTTGAATCCAAGACTGGGACTATGGGAAGAACAAACCTTCTGGGGTGTTAATGCTGTGAGCCCATCCATCATAAGCTCAGGTTGTTATATGTATGTGAAAATAAACCACATATAATAAAGACACCACAGTCTTTACTGTCCCTCATTCCTTAGAAACAGAACCCTACTTAAGCACCTGGGCCCCCTGAAAACTTGCACCACCTGAAGATTGGGGTGGCAGGCAACACACCATTTGAATAACTTGGTCCAGCTCTGAAAAGTTTGAGCAGAACCACAATTGCATTCAGTTTTGTCACATTTGGATTGCAACATCTGAAATGGGTTCTGTAGCCCAGTCCAGACACACCCAGAGAGGCGCTGAATAAGCCTAGGTCTCTAGCGTGAGTGGGTGTTGTTGTGGTCTAAACCTACAAGCCTCTTGGGCTTGCTGATCGGAAGGTCGGCAGTTCGAATCCGCGCAACGAGGTGAGCTCCCATTGCTCTGTCCCAGCTTTTGCCAACCTAGCAGTTCGAAAGTATGCCAGTGCAAGTAGATAAATAGGTACAGCTGTGGCAGAAAGTTAAACAGCGTTTCCCTGCGCTCTGGCACTCATCAGGATGTTCCGTTGTGCGAGAAGCAGTTTAGTCATGCTGGCTACAAGACCCGGAGAGCTGTCTGTAGACAAACACCGGCTACCTCGGCCTGGAAGCGAGATGAGTGCCATGCCCCATAGTCACTTTTGACTGGACTTAACTGTCCAGGGGTCCTTTACCTTTACTTTTTATCTAGGTCTTTAGCATGGCAAAGGGATAGTGATGAAAACAACAGCACCTTGTCACTATGACCCCGTTGCCATGCTTGAGGCCAAGAAGAATGCATACATAGCCATGGTACAACACTCTGCACATGCTTGGAGGAAATTTGTGCAATCCACTCTGTATGGAACAAATTGCTCTGGAATGGGTGGGTGGGTGTGTGTGTGTGTGTGTGTGAGAGAGAGAGAGAGAGAGAGAGAGAGAGGGTGTGCACTTTGAATTGTGTACAAAGGACAAAAGGTAACAAATACAGACACAGGAGCTTTGATGCAATGTATAATAATAAATAATAATAGAAACAACACAGTGCTTATGATTTGTAAGGGCAAGATATTTATGCTTCAGAAGGAATCAGCAATTGCAACATATGTATTATATAAACAAGTGTTTGCATTTGAAGATACTGCATGCTCCACATAACATTCCACCTCTGCTCTTTATAATTGAAGGAATTATTTCCTGGATTCCAAATGCTTATTATGTAATTAACAGTATCGCCACTCTAGGCTGCAATAGGCTGTCGCAGTTCTTAAGCCACTTACTCTGGAACAATCCCATTGACCTCAATTACATTATTCTGGGCTTCAGGTTTTGATATTTGACCCAAGCATTATTTTTAATATTTTCTTGATTATTTACTGTGCTACCTGCATTTGTTAGGAGAAACATATATTAATTTCATTATATGGGACTATAGATTTTTAGCCACATGCAAACTTAAATACTGTATATATATATTCTGGGAGTTTTCACACCTAGAGCAGCAAAACATAAACTTTCCCATTGAACCTTATATAAATCTAGGGGCAGTAGGGAGGAAATCAGTGCTGTTATTATCATAGCATATATTTCTTCATACAGAGTCAACATGAGATCACTTGTCTGACATTATAGTGAATGAAGTAATTTGTTTTGATGAGTTGTTCCTCTATATGACGTTATTTGTGCATACTATAAATGTTGATGTTATTTGTGCATACTATAAATGTTAAATTGTGGTAGAAGTAACATGTTGTAGTGTAGACAACTGTGACATGTTATCTTTCCAGTCATTATTACCCATAAATAACTCAAGAGCAAAAGCACCGTTCGTTTTCTAACTTTGCCCCAAATCCAGCAAAAAGCTTTTATTTGTATCCAACAGCCTGGGTCCAAGTGATGCAAAAATATGCATGGTGGTAGTTTGCGTTGGGCCACCACTGTGTGTGAGGTTAGGAAAACTTTTATCAGGCAAAATACAAAGATAGTTGTACGGGGGCAGAGGGAGGATAGGTGATGACCCAGGTAGGTGACGTATAAAGACCGGGGGGGGGGGGGCTTGGTCTAGTATGGGGGAAGGGCATTTGGCAGAAGGGTAGGCAGGGGTAACAAACAGAGTGAGCAGGGGCAGCAGCCCTCAGTGAAACTGAAAAGTGTATAAAATTATCATGAAGATGCCCTAGCTGTAAAGCATATTAGTATCAGCATATTTATGCTACAAACCTAAACTGCTTTAATAATCATTTCATCACTCCAGCGGAATTCTCAGACCCCTCAATGAACCACAGCTCCCAGAATTTGGGGTGCGTGTGAGAGAGGTGGGGGGAAGGAGCCATGTAAGTTAAAATAGTTGTTAAAGTGATCTAAGGCTCTTCAGCCTACTCCCTCTTTTACCACACAGAAGAACTATTATGATGATATCTGGGATTAGGATCACACACATACAGAGGCGCAGCACTCACAACCATTGCCCTAGTTACCTGTGCTGTGATGTCAGTGTCATGATGCTGTGACTGTGAGGTGACGTCATGTTTTGTGACATTTGTTGGCACAGGAGTCGTCCAGCATAATTTGAAGCCCTTAAGTGTTGTCTTAGTAAGCTTTAAGTGTGGCTTGTAAAAGTGTTATCACTGCAAGAACAATTTATTATTATTATAATACATTGTAAATCAGTGTTTATCGGAAGGGAGCAGCCATACTCATGCAAAGCATCTGGAGAACTTCTGAACCGCCTTTGAATAGAGCCGAAAATAACAAGGTATATAATATATATAGTACCTTATCTTGCTGCAACATTTTTGTCTAAGCACCAGTATAACCCTTGAACTCAGCACAGCTCTGGGAAAGGAGCTTGTTAACTAGTTCTATTCTCCATCAAGCTCAAAAGGAAAGCAGACTTTCTGATCAAAGGATAAATGCGCCTTCTGCTCTTGGAGTTGTCTTTGTTAGCTAATTGCTTCTGTACTGGAGTGCTTGAGCTCTTGTATCTAAGGTGCAAATCATTTGTCTTATTAGAAGCAGCTATTACTTCACGCGTTAAAATGCGTTACTGTGCCAAACCCTCACATAGCCTGGCAAGAAGACAGCTTAACCAATTAATCAGGGGTTCCACAAAAGTGCATGATGGTAAGGAGCCAGATTTAGGGTGATAATGTTTGAAAAACATGTCATCATAAACCAATCTAACAGAAGAGCAAACTTTTATTTCAGGCAAGCCAGCAATACAGCCAGTGTTGGGGGGTGTTTGTTTAAGCAAGTGTATGTTCCAAGATTTATGTTGTTTGGCAACTCTCTTACTTGTAGCAGCTACATGAACTTCAAACATCTACATAGGAAATAAAACAAAGACTGAAAAGCTCTATAGTAGATAAACAGCATAATGCAAGTTGAAATTTATATTGAAAAAAATGTAATAATTTTGGCTCACTAAGCTTGCTAGGCTACTTAATTGTGACAACTTCATCTTAAGTTACACTCAAAGCAGACTCTTATTGGTTTGTTGTAAATGTCTGAATGCTGCGAACCATGCTTCTTGGCTTAACTAGGCATCAGATTGTTTTGCAGTGCAATGTGTAAGCAGTAGGCTGGGTTAATAACTATAGAATTCAGCCTAGGTATGAGAGCACAATTCTTGCCTCTTTTTTTTAAGCAACTCTGTGCCCCTATTTTGTTTTCCAGATTCTCAGAAGAGAGCATCCATTGCCTTAAAAAGGCAAGCTACAAATTCTTCCTTGATATGTTGCAGAGGAATTACACCGAGAATGAATCAAACAGTAGAATTAGGACTTAAGAAGAATGTTGGTATAAGCCGCTGTATACTGTCAAAACATTTGTCTATCTCGAGCTCAGTATTGCCTAAATTGGAACAACTTCTGTGAGCCACTTCCTGTCTTATTACGTTCAGACATGGTGGTGGGACCCCTGCAGTGATTCTAGCAATAGGTAGAGCAAACTGAACTGAGTCTGGGTGTACAGTAGAGCAGTGAATTCACCACCAGCTCCTGCTGGTTAGGGCAGAAGGTGTAGTGACAATAACCCCCCCCCCCTTTATTTTGTTCCAGGCTGATGCAGCAGAAGGGCCCACATTGGACCCTTCACCAGGAAATGGACCACCATTGACTTCAGTGGATGCTGTTTCAACAGCCCTTACACTGACTGGCAGCCACACGAGGGAGCTTCCATAGCAGCTTGGCTCCTCTGCATCCTAACCCCTTACACTTAGCATCATGGATCTGTGTGTGTGTGTGTGTGTGTGTTAGTATTATGGCTGTGGCTGTACCAGCACTTCATTTTGTTTTACCTTTTTGTTAGTCTGCCCCTCCTTAATGCTGTTTATTTCAGTGCATACTTTTTTATTGTAAATCACATTGAGGCTATTTTTAGAAGTAGTAGATGTGTTATAAATAGCAGCACAGGAATTGTCTCCAAGAGCCTCATCCTGCTATGCCAAGTGACCCTGCAAGTGACACTGGTGTGCAAATGGTCCATCCCGCTGCTGCTTGACGTAGTAAGCTGGGCACGTACTTGGACTGCTAAGCGCTGGGACTTCATGGCAGCCTCCACAGTCACATCCCCATAGCTATGCCCCTGCTAAGACTATGAACTTTTGACCAATACAAACATTATGGCTGCAATAACAAGTCATTTCTCCCATACTCTCTCTCTTTCTTTCCTTTAACATCCAGCCTAAGTCTCAAGAGTTTGCTCAATATTTTGGCCGTAATTAAGAGATTTGGATTTTTTCCGAAATAAAAGTGGCATGCTAATGTAACGTAGCTCTTCTTATTAGGTTATTTGTTGGATTTATGTCTAGAAGCGGAAGAAAAAAGCCTTATATATTTGGCATGCAACATACTAGCACATAGTTGGGCAAAAGATTACTGCAATGCAGGGGGTTGGACTAGATGACACTTGTGGTCACTTTCAACTCTACAATTCTGTGATTCAGTGATTCTATGATTCCTACAGTACAGGATATCGCAATCTCTGTTGTGAAATAAGTGGCAGTACTTCATCTCTGCCCATCACTACATTATTTCTTGCGAGAGGTTCTGCTGATGGGCAGCTGCCAACCTACCAAGAGATGCAAGTGTGAGTAAGCACTCAAGTTTCAATTTATAAGGTTCCAAGAGGGCAGGGCTTCTTGGGATATCAACCTGTACATCAAGGGTGTTTACCATGTACTGTATTTCTTTTTGAATTGTTCTTTGCCATGTTCAAGGATCTATACACACATTATTTCAGTAATTCCCACAACCATGTAAAGCAGGTGTGGACAACTTTTTTCCCCTGCTGAGGAACATTCTCTTTCTCCCCCCACCTCTCTCTCTCTCTCTCTCTCTCTCTCTCTCTGTGTGTGTGTGTGTATGTGGAATCTGCCAGAGGCCACATGCTGACAGTGGGCGGAGCTGAAACTGATGACAAATGTGTTCTGGATAACTAATCTGGAATAAAGACCAATCATTCTGAAACTACATAAAAATAAAGGGAGGCTTTTAAAAAGTCAGGAAAAGACTCATAAATGAAGTTAAGTGGAGTCACATGTAGCCCCTAGATCACAGGTTTCCCCTTTTAAGTTAAAGGGGTGGTGGTGGTCCCTGGTTGTCTTAATAGTACAGTGGTACCTTGGGTTACATACGCTTCAGGTTACAGACTCCGCTAACCCAGAAATACTACCTCTGGTTAAGAACTTTGCTTCAGGATGAGAACAGAAATCGTGCAGCTAAAGTGGTGCTTCAGGTTAAGAACAGTTTCAGGTTAAGTACAGACCTCCGGAATGAATTAAGTACTTAACCTGAGGTACTACTGTACAGAGATGGCACACACTGAGGCTGAAAACAGGAATATACCAAAGGCACAGCCCCCATATACCATGGGAGTAGCCAGGATTTTTGAAATGGGGGCAGGCCTCTTGTTGGGGGGGGGGCGAACCTCACTTAGCTATGTATTTTTATGGATTTGGGGAGGGCAACTGCCCCTCTACCACCCCTTGGCTACGCCCATGCCCCATACATGTCTATTCAGAAATAAATCCCACTGAATTCAATAAGACTTGCTCCCAGGTAAATAAATGACTATATGATTGCAGCCCTAGTGAGTTTGATGCAGGGGGTGTGAGCCAAACTAGGGAATTGCTGTTTCACAGATCATTTGCTCACCCACCTTGCTACGTCGCCCCCTCGGCATCTGCAAAAAAAAAAAAAACACACCACAAAAACAAACACCTCCCCGTCATGGCCCTCTCTTAGCCTAACCTACCTCAAAGGAATATAAAAGATAAAAAGGAAAATAGTATATAGAAGAGATAAATGGAATCAAAACGGCACATTGCTTTGATTTCGCCCGCGCTCCTCTGGATGGCAGGGATTTTCTTCCCGTTGATTGCACAACGCCTGCCAGGTTTAGGGCAAGGAAGATGCCACTAATCATGAATCACCCAAGTTCTGCACCTGCTGAACATCTACTTGTTGCACAGCTGCGGAAAGTCTCGGCCGTCTTGCGCGAGTAAGGGACGAGCCGCCGCCGCCGCCGCCCGCCGCGCTGTCCCCGGGGCTCCTTGGGTGGCTGCTGGCAGCGGCGAGGCGGAGGGAGCAGGGGCCTTCCCCGAGGAGCCCTCCCCCGGAGTGGGCGGGGCCAAGGCGAGCTCTCGGGGACTTGAGCGGAGGCCGCGGGGGAAGGAGAGCGAGCGAGCGAGCGAGCGAGAGACGCGTCGCGCCCGCTGCCTCGCGCCGCATCCCGCCCGCCCGCCCCCTCCGCCTCCGCGCGCGCCTCGACGATGTCTTCTTCTTCCTCGCCCAAGGCGGAGAGGAAGCCGTGGAGCTTGGGGCGCCTGTCCGTCACGTCCAGGAAAGGCAGCATGAAACCCTCGGCTCTGGAGCTGGCCGAGAACGCCGCCAACGCGCACTACGCGCCTTTCTCGCTCTCCGCGCCCGCGGGGGGGACGACGCCCGGCGGCACCGGCTGCGCGACTCAGCAGCGCGCGCGGTACGTCGAGGGTCCCGAAGCCACCGTGGCCATGAGCGGCGGAGGCGGCGACTACCCTCGCCCTCCGGTCAGCTTCGACCCGCGCGTCTCCATCTACAGCGTCCGCAGACCTCTGCTGAGCCGCAGCCACATCCAAGGCAGGGTCTACAACTTCCTGGAGAGACCCACCGGCTGGAAGTGCTTCGTCTATCACTTCACTGTGTGAGTCCCAACGGCTTTTTGCTGAGGTTTTGCTTAGAAGCGACCCCCCCCCTCATAAGGGCCCCCCTTCTTCCTCGAGGAGCCCGGCGGCGGCTCCCGGGGTCAAGGAGCGGGGAGGGCGGGCGGGCGGGCAGACAGGCTTCTCGTCGTTTTCTGTCAAGAAAAGGCGGGAAAAGGGCCTCGGGGAGCCCGGCGCACGCTCGCCAAGGGCGCGCGGCTCGCTCGGCGCCCGCCGGAGCCCCGCCCACTGGAGATTGGCAGCCCTCGCGCGACGCGTGTTTACCCGGCGGACTTTTCCGACCGAAGTTGACCTAGTAAGGATGCTGAGGGTGGCAGCCCGACCTACTAGGTCAGCATCCTCTTGCGGGAGTGAGGCAGCTGTTGTTGAAGCCGCACGCCTCCTTTGCCCCCCCAACCAGCCTTCCTCCTGGAGCCATAGAGGGGGGGAAAGCTTGCAGCGTTTGGGACTTTTGAGTTTAGAGGAAAAGGGGAATGAGAGGTGGCTTGAGAGAAGTTTCTAAAATTATGCCTGGCGTGGAGAAAGTGAGTAGAGAAAGGCTTTTCTCATACCAGAAGTCACGGACAATCCGATGAAGCCGAATGTAGGAAGATCCAGGACAGATAAAAGAAACTTTTTCACACAGTGCATTAGTTAAACTGCGGAACTCCCTCCCACAGGACACAGTGATCGCCACAGACTTGGATGGCTTTAAAAGCGCATCGGACAACGGAGGAGAGGGCTGTCGATGGTGACTAGCTGTGATGGCTATGCTCTGCCCTCACAGTTGGAGGCAGCAATGCTTTTGAATACCATTTGCTGGACACCACAGGAGGGCAAGAGTGCTCTTGTGCTCAGATTCCCCTTGCAGGTTGCCCACAGGCCTCCAGTTGGCCATTGTGAGAACAGGATGCAGGGCTGGATTATTTATTTGATTAATTTCTATACCACCCTCCACCTGATGATCGCAGGGCGACTTACTATCTAAAAACATAAAATGCATAACATACTGTAGTAACAAACAAAAACAATAGCCCAGCCCCCACAATATGGCCTCATCCAAGAGCACGTTTTTATGTCCTATATACCTTACGCTTTAGCAGCTCTTAGGAAAACTCTCAGTGTCTCATCAGATATTTAACAGACCAAGCCCTGGCATACTTTATTGGAAGTAAGTTGCATTGTGTTCCATGAAGTTTGCTGCCAGGAAAGTATTCCGAGCATTGCAGCCTAATTGTAGGCGCTGTCTGCCTGTAACATTTAATTGCCTAGATTCATGCATAACGTTTGCTACAGATAAATCCTTTCCTTTAAGCACATAAGGTACTCCCTTACAGGTGCGTGTGCAGATAAGTTATTTCCAGGATTAATGTCAATAGATGCTAGGTTGCCGGGGGTGGGGGGAGAGAGACAGCTCCAGAAGATGGCAATTGTAGATATCCTTTACTCTGGCTAGGTACCTGTTCTGCATGGTGGGGTGCACCACTGTGGCTTCTGTGCTAAAGGTCCATGCAGATACACTCTCTATTTGATGAGCTGTGCTTTAACTTCTCTCTGTGTGTTCCATTCATTCCTAATGCATTGAGCAAAACAAGGCATTGTATGCTGAGAACTTCTTACGCTGGTTACAAGTACCAGAGTTCATAAATTGTTGTTCATGAGATAATTATTTAAACTAGCCATCTGTCAGCACAATTCGATTCATTATTCAGAACTCTGACAACACATTGTGTGTGTGCACGCACACAAATACAAACGTTTGTGAAATGAAACAGTGACAAATGTGTGAACCCCCCTCTTTGCTACTGCCCAGGGAAAAGCAGCTTTGGGAAGGGAGCTTTTTAGAGTGGAGAAGCAGCCAGGGAGATTTGTTAGAATCATCATAGAGTTGTAGAGTTGAAAGGGACCACGAGGGTCATCTAGTCCAAGCTGTCACAATGCAGGAATCTTTTCGCCCAGCACGACTGAGATTAAGTCTCCTGCTCTGCCAATTGAGCTACGTTGAAACTTTTCTGCACTGGTCATTCCTCTACTCTAGATTGTACCTCTCCCCATCACTTTTCTCCCCTTGAGCCTCCAAAATGCACATTTGGAAAGGCAAAAAGAAGTTTGGAAACCTGCAAAATAGGAGGGGGATTTGGAGTGGAGTGATCAACACTTTCTTTACTCACCATTTATCCACTCCAAATCCTCCTCCTACATTGCAGGTTTCCAATTTTTTGTTGCTTACAGGTTGTCTTATGATTTGCTTGGAGTGAAAGTGTTGAGCACATTTAGTTTCATAGGCATGCTGTGAAAGGGCATTATTCTTGATACAGTGGTACCGCGGGTTACATACGCTTCAGGTTACATACACTTCAGGTTACAGACTCTGCTAACCCAGAAATAGTGCTTCAGGTTAAGAACTTTGCTTCAGGATAAGAACAAAAATCGTGCTCCGGCGGCACGCCGGCAGCAGGAGGCCCCATTAGCTAAAGTGGTGCTTCAGGTTAAGAACAGTTTCAGGTTAAGAACGGACCTCCAGAACGAATTAAGTACTTAACCCGAAGTACCACTGTACACAAATTATAGCCAAATTGAGCCAAAAATATGAAGGCATACTGTAACACAACATGGCATTAGTTGCCTTTGACATTCCTCTTGGAGTTGATGCAAATGACTTATTGCCTGATGTTGGTGTGCTTAAAATAACACTCACTTTCCTGAATCATGGCTTGCAAAATTAAAAAAACCACCCAAAATACCAATCAGTACAATATACTGTACTTAATAGCTTCAAAATGTAGATTAGTCGTGCTTGTCTAATCAGAGCTACTTTTCAAGGTGCATTCTTGGAAATGAAAAAAAGAACAGAATGTATTTTTAAGAAAGTAGTGAATGGAATTTCTTAACCTAAGGTACTCTTACCTTAGGGCTTTTTTTGGGGGGGGGGGTAGAATCCAAATATCCTAACTACCACTTAAAAGTTGTGTTAACTTACTAATGGCTCACCATATGACTCTGGTGCTTTTTTCTCTCCATACCACTGCAAATGACTGGAAATAAGAAAGATTTACAACAGAGGTTCCTAAACCATGGTCCGTAGACCTCCAGTGGTCCACAAGCTTCATTCAGGTAGTCGTCGGCATTTCTGTAAACATACAGTTAAAATCATACAGAATCTAAAACAGTGCATTGAAATTGCTAAAACAGGCAGAAAAATAATTAAGTGGTCCATCAAGACTTTCAGCAATTTTTAATTCGTCATGAGGATGGGGGGAGATTGGGAACTTTAGTTGGCATCCGTCTGTCTCGAGAGACAATGGAGTGTGCCTCCAAGCTGGGGATGAAGTCAAACTGCTGTGTTAGTAGCACCAAAGTGACCTCCTCAGAGTACAAGCCTGAGCAGTATGTACAAAGGTTCTGGGTTGCCCAGATGACAAGACACGCCCCCCCGGCTTCACTGATGTGGTCCAAAGGAAAGCAGAACAATACGTTTGGTACCAGCTTGCCTGCAGGAGTTTCTGGAAGGAGGCTTACAAGGTGCCATCCAACCATTGTAGGGACTCCACTCTGGATTTGTGTAGGGTTTATTCCTAAGCCCCTTTTCTGCCAAAGATATCCTGAAAGGTAACAGAGGCTTAGGATCAGTTTTTCTTCTCCTAGACGGGCTACCTTCCCAGGTTGATGAGACCCACCTGCCAGGGGCGTAGCAAGAGGGGTGCGGTAAGTGTGGTCCGCCCCGGGTGTCCCCACAGAGGTGGGTGACAAAATGGTGGGCAGCACTCACTTCTGGGCCTGCAGCATGCCCAAGCCACACGTCTTGGGCACCCGCAGGTTCCACTCTATCCGCCTGCTGCCTCCCCCCCCCCCCAGCTGTAGGGTGGCTGAGGCCACATGGTGCGCCTTGTCCCTAGGGGTGCTGCGCCCCCCCGGTCCCTATGGGGAAGTTCGCTCCGCCCCTATGGGTGGTTCGCCACAGGTGCCAGAGAGACTTCCTCCACCGCTGCCACCTGCCCCTCATTTCCCTCTACAGCACATGCTGAAACTGCCTTCTTGATCATTGGACCCATTAGTGGTCTCATCTGCTCAATCTGCTGCAGCTGTCTTTCCTTGTAGGGCTTACAATATCATAGTCAAAAAGCTTGGAGGAGCAATTTATCTCCAGATAGTGGCTCTAATGCACAACTAACCTTTATTCTGAAAGTTAACTCAGGGAAAACTTCAAAACAGCCAAATGAGCTTGGAGTTTCCTCCGTGTGCACAAAATGTGGGAAACTGGGATTGGGTAGGGGAGTGGAAATGGAATGGCATATCTTAACAGACGGTGTGGCTGGCTGCTTGGCAACTTGTGCAAAGAGTATTCAGCGCTGCAACATTTTGTTTC